GTTGTACCCACATATATAACTTTTTAAGAATCTTCACTGTCTGTAACTTCTCTGTTTTCAGTATCTGTGTTTACGTCTAACTTCATAAAAACAAATACCTTTATTTCATGTCCTTTAGGGGTCAATTGTGCACCTTGCCTCAAAGTAAAGCATTCTATAAATTTTATTTAATAAATATCTGCTCAATTCCAGTTTCAAGTATCTAAAGGCCTCCCTAGGTTCTGATCTTCCACTATTACAGAGCTGTAGCCCTGTGGCTGTTAGTGCCAATTTACTCATGGAAGAGGCCTTGCTCAGAGCGTTTGTGTTCTTGTAATTGTTTTAGCATTATGTCTTGTTTGTGATCTGAAGAGACTGAGCAGACAATTTTGGGAAGCAGGATTTTAAGAAGTCCCTGTAATTGGCCCATATATGCCATGCGCTTTTTCACTATATAATCCAATGCAGTTGTCTCTGTTTTCAAAATGAAGGAGCATATGCACACATAAATGGGGCTGACACTATTTAAAGCCAAAATCTGCTCTGTGCTCCAAGGCATGAGTGACACATAGGTAGAGTTCTTAATAACATGTGCTGGAGCTGGCTAACAAGTTCCAAGTAAGCAAGCTTGTAAGGATACCCAAGTAGATTAAGTTTAGTAATTCCTGAAGAGAAAAAGTAAGTTGTAAAAACATCTTATATCTTGGCATTACAGTCTTAAAGCTGCACTGAGAAGAAAGAAAATAGACAATGTAAGGAAACAGCTGCCTGCAAAACATATTGAATAGGCTCAGTGCCAAAAATGGAACATGCCATGTGTTCTATAAGCTCACTAATAATAAATAAATAACAAGGGTTATGTCTTTCTCATTATCAGTTTTAAAATATCAAAAAGGTTTTACAAAAAGTTAAAAATCAAGATTGGAAAGGCAAGTGTACTAACTGCATAACACAATAATCAGAAAAATCCTGCTGTTGATAAAAAGCAAATATGTGAAAACTAGAAGAGACAAATTCTTCTGGTGAGTGGTGTGAAATTGAAACAACCTTTGCAAACAAACTTTAGAGGATGGATAGCTGATCTCACTCTCAAATATCACAGTCCCTTTACAGAGACAATTACTTTTCAATTTGCAAGACAGACAAAGGACTTTGAAAGGCCAAAATTGGGTGCTACATTTTTCCTCTAAAAAGTGTTCCCTTTTCACTCTACCCATTGACACTGATATTCTCATCCAGAGAAAATTAAAGCATTTGTTACACCTCATCTGCATGCATCAAAGTAAGAAAATTAGAGCAACTTAGAACTAGGTGAGATTTCTTGCCCATATTCCTGCTTCATCGTACATACTGTCTGAACCCTTTCATTGTTCACATTAAAACTGCATATTATATAAATATACATGCAATTATTTTTCTGTCTCATTTCAAATGATTTATTAGCATTTTTAATAGCATGAGATCCCTAACTGAACATCCACAAGTAGTTTCACACTCTTTGGTTTTAGGCACTTAATTTAGAGCTGAAGAGACCACATGCTCCTGTCACACTAATTAACAGTGAGATTGTTCCTCCAGAAAATGACCCATGGCAGGTGCCACGCACCAACACATGCAGAATAGTATTATGAAGAAATGTTCTCTCCACAAACTACATAAACAGTCTCTCAATTTCTGTACTTCTGCCCCACGCTGTGTAAATTGCAACAGTACTGTCCTGACGCCACGCCCCAACCAACCCCCTCCAGATTATATTATCAAACAAAGGCCATAATCAAGCTACAAATGGGGCTGCACATTTCACCTGCCAGTTTCAGTCCTGCACACTGTGAGAACCTGTAACCTGATGTAAATAAGCTTGCCAAGGCAACTTCAAACATAACATTAATTAGGGTGAAGGACCTTCAAGCTTTTCCCCTTGCATTAGACGATGACTGAGGGACCGTACTAGAAGTTGCAGCTGAGTACAGAGAATTTGGTAAGCTAGTCTCCACCTACACTGATTCATTCATTGCTTCTGTGGACATAAGGGAGGATGAATCAAGATTTATTATAATCAGTTTATTTCACCCATCACCAAATATCAATACTTGGATATCTGCGTGTAGCAGCAATCAGGCTACCAAGTGTGATATGTTATGTAGGTCGTTACTTACAATTTTTTCCAGTTGCTCCATTTGTTAAAATTAGGATATATCTTTAAATAATAATCTCCATGTCAACATATTTTACCTTTCACATACTGCTATGACCCCAAAGCTGTGTTTTAGAAGTAAACTACAATGAAAAAATTGAGGACCAAGAGAATATGGAAAACTTTGCTTTCATCCGAGTCCTGAATTATGCTTGCATGTCAGGAAATGGGAGGAATTGAATACCCAGCATTACAAAATGCAGCGTAGTATTAAATAAAGGCAATAAACCACACATATATGCGTATCATATCATGCAGTTTTACACATTAATAGAGAAAAAATAAACAGAAATTAAATTTTCTTTTCGCTTCTTACACAAAGAAAATAAAATCAGACAGTGGCATGTAAAAGAAAATTGCATTTCCAAAATTCTTTGTTTTAAAAATGACTAGGTGTTTCTACAACAGAAATGAATCTGTTGGCTTGACTGCACTTATTGACCCCTGCTCAGAAACGTGTTCACTAGCTCTTCAGTCTGGGAGCCACTGCATATGACTAAATGTCTGCCTTCAGCTTCAAGGCAACATTACTATGTGGCAGTGAATTTAGTTCTGCTTTTAATGCCTTTTTATCTTCTGCATCTTTTAGAATAGTGCTTTCTTTCTGTTTCTATTGATGTAATTCCATATGACGTTTCAAACTTCCTTCTCATAAACTAAAATGTTCTTCAACTGCAAACAAAATTTTTTTATTTCTTTCTACTGGAAGTCTTTGGCACACTGCGGGCTCTACTGGAAAAGGCTGTGAATCACAAGCTATCGCCCTGCTTAAATAGTAAAACATAATAAATGCAAGGCGATAGCCTGCCTATTCCTGCCCCGACAGGCACATTTGCCCTTCATGGTGCTCCTCACGAACAAATAGGACATTATTTTTAGACTTTCGCTTCTCCAGAAGGAAGGCATGGAGGAGCTGCTGAGCAACCACATGAAGGAATGCAGTAGCTAGTTCTCCAAAACAACCACCAAAATGGCTCCATCTGAGCCTCTGCTCAGAAGCAGTACAGCTTTATTCCCCTGATTAAATATCACTGAATTATGAAAATGGCAGGGGGTGGCTCAAAGGCACGTTTTCACTTCTCAAGGCCTAATTTGAAGGAAATAAAACTTGAAGAAGACAAACTTCACAGCTTTTAAGAGCCTCATTACTGACCTGCATTAACTACAGTTATAACAACCTTTGCCAGGTCTCGTGTAAGGAAACAAGACAAATTCTTTTGTAGCTAACGCATGTTCTGGCTCAACTAAATTGTTATAGTATTAACACATGGATTGTTGAAGTTTCAACCATTTTGAAACAGGTCATAGCAGTCTTGAATCATGTGAATTTACAACAAAACATAGCAATTACCTCCTACCTCCATTGTTACTGCTTTCATTGTTTGACTTGTTTCATGCTGGTATGTCTGCTGGTGTGCATGGAGGGCAAAGCAGACACCATGGCAGTGTTGCTTAGAGACCTAAACTCAACTGTGAACACCAAGGCGTATTAATTTGATCCTTAGTTTTGCAACACAATGGTAATTCTGAGAGCCCCAAAACAGGAGGATGGTTAATCCAAGCAGTCTTTTATCGCAGCATACAGAACCATGTGCTACCTGGTTTCTGTTATTGACCACATTTCTTTTCTTTGTTCAGTGCTGATGCCACAGCCAGGTCTTGCCATGGCTGATGTGCAGCAAAAAGCAAGTGCTGCAGAGTTCATGAGTATTCATTCTGGTGCCACCATAACACAGCACAACAGAGCCTGAGCACGTTGCTTTAGGGTGGGATGTTCTCAAGTTCACTGCAAATAAATGTGCTGCACAACTTCCAGCTGTATCACAGAGCCCTGATGAAACTAAACATTTGCTTTCACTGATGAGAAATTTGTCTACGCACCTGCATATTTCAAGGTCTGTGTGAGAATCACAGAATCATACAATATGAAGAGGCTGGAATGGACTTTGAAGATCATCCTGTCCCAACCCACTTCCCATGCTGTAGGCAGAGAAATCTCCCACTAGACCGTGTTGCTCAAGGCCCTATTCAACTTCAGTGCTGCGACGGCTGAGGCACCTACAGCTTCTCTGGGCATTGTCTCATTCCAATGTCTCATCCACTAATCCAGCCATAGTGAAGGATTTCTTCCTAAAATCTCACTTAGATTTCCTCTCTTCATTCATACCCATTACTGCTTGTCCTATCACTATAGATCCTGATGAACTTCCCTTCAAATACTGGAAGGTTGCTGTGGGACGTCCACACAGCCTTCTCTTCTCCATCTCTTCACCAGGCTTCACCAGCCACAGCTCCCTCCACCTGTCTTTGTAGCGCAGGTGCTCCAGATCCCTTATCACCTTCATGGCCTCCTCGGAATTCATCAGTCTTTCTTCTGCTGGGGACCCCAGAGCTGGATGCAGTGTTCTCACCAGGGATCTCACCAGGACGGAGCGGAGGGACGTTTAGATACCGCTCTGCTACCCACGCTGTTTTTGACGCGGCCCAGGACGGGGCTGTTTTTCTGTCAAGTTCCAGATCTCCCCTGACTGACGAGCCCCTTCCCCAGAGGGATGGGACCGAGCCGCCCTCCCCCCGCGGCCCCGGGCGGCGGCGGCGGCGCGGGAGGGGCAGGGGGGGAGCGGCGCCCCGTGCGTGCCGCAGCCGGTCACGTGGGCGGCGGGACCGGGG